CTCTGGGCGGTCCCGCGGCCTGCGAGCTCTGGGGCGAGAAAGCCCCGTTCGTAAGTGCGGATCCGACATAAGTCGGATCCGCGTAAGTCGGGGACTGCCTGTACAGTGAATGTGGTGGAGGGGGGACTTAGCACAGAGAAACTTAACCAAACAACAAAACAAAGAAAATAACCTGATCATGACTAAATAGACATTTTCCCCTATTTACTCATATACTTCAAGGTCCAGTCCATTTCCATGCCCAGTATTTCTTGTAGGCATGGTAGTCCTGCCTGGATTAATTCATCTTGTTTCTCCCAGTTCTTGTCTTAAACTCACACAAAGAGAACAGCAGGCAGATATATCTAATCAATTTACATTTCAACAATCTTTCTCACTGACTTCCCTGGCTTCCTGTGAACACCCCCTAGCTATCTGAGTTTAACCCTTTAGTCACCAAGTGCTGGCCAGCACTCCTCCTATCCATTACACAAGAAGTCATTCTTCCACTCTACTCTGCACTTGTTAGGCCTCAATTGGAGTATTGTGTTCAGTTCTGGGCACCGCATTTCAAGAAAGATGTGGAGAAATTGGAGAGGGTCCAGAGAAGAGCAACAAGAATGATTAAAGGTCTAGAGAACATGACCTATGAGGGAAGGCTGAAGGAATTGGGTTTGTTTAGTTTAGAAAAGAGAAGATTGAGGGGGGACATGATACCACTTTTCAGATACCTAAAAGGGTGTCATAAGGAGGAGGAAGAAAACTTGTTCATCTTGGCCTCTGGGGATAGAACAAGAAGCAATGGGCTTAAACTACAGCAAGGGAGTTTTAGGTTGGACATTAGGAAAAAGTTCCTAACTGTCAGGGTGGTCAAACACTGGAATAAATTGCCCAGGGAGGTTGTGGAATCTCCATCTGTGGAGATACTTAAGAGTAGGTTAGATAAATGCCTATCAGGGGTGGTCTAGACAGTATTTGGTCCTGCCATGAGAGCAGGAGACTAGATTCGATGACCTCTCGACGTCCCTTCCAGTCCTAGTATTTTATGATTCTATGATTACACTCGTCGCACTGCAGGCACTCAACCTCCCAGAAGAAGGTTGCAAGTCAAATCAAATGCAAGTGTCTAAAAGTTATTGAATGTAGGTCACATATAACAGGTGTGGGAGTTAATCTTGTTGTCTTGACTATAAATAATTAACACATAATCTTTCTCATAGTTCTTCTATCTTTGTAGTTGTCCTGATCTGTTAATGGAAAAACTACCAGAGTTGATTTCCATGCTACTACACGGCTTTTCGACTGCAAGTCAGTTGGCTTTTAAAGCTAAGATGAAAAATGTACATAGACGAAAGTCATTCTGAGTACTTAAATCCAAGTATGCCACAGGAGAGGATAATAAACTGTCTCTGCAACCAATTTTTTTGTATGAAGTAAAAGGGGATTGTCAATGCAATGTCTAACTTGTATATTAAAGGCTCAGTCAAAGGAGTATATTTAGTATGCGTTGTTTTAAGCTCTCTGCGAGAAGTCTGCTTAAAATATATTAACATTTGTTAAAGTTCCACAAATTGTGAAAACACACAAACATTCCATCAGAGAACTGTTTATTTTTAAGTTAAAATCACAACATGGCACCTCAGCAATGAAAGATTATTCATCCTCTGGTGTGCTGTTTGAAACAAAAACTGTTTTAGCGCTAACCCACCTTAGATCAGGAATTGAAGGCTGGTTTTATGCAGTTATCCTCCGTGAGTGACATACACTGAAAGCCCAGTTGCAGAAGCCTTACGAGTGAACCATACTAGGGACAGGGCGTCTAACCCCATCCCCGAACACAGAGATGAATGCAGGGCTTCTCAGGCCTATGGAATGGACACGGGGGCTGTGTCTACACTGGCCCCTTCTTCGGAACAGACATGCTAATTTAGAACTTTGGAATAGGGAAATGTGTGGTGGCCATGTTTATTTAAATCCCCTGCGCATTTCCCTATTCCAAAGTTCTAAATTAGCATGCCTATTCCGAAGAAGAGGCCAGTGTAGACACAGCCGGAGGGGGGACCCTTCTGTCATTTGCATGGAGTGATTGGGCCACTGGGTCTAAGTAAACAGAGAATTTGTGGCCTCCATCTTCCATGTGGACTTCGGCAGGACTAACACAAAGATCCCTTTCACAGCACTCTGGAGATGCAGGGCCGGCTTTGCCAGTAGCAGAGCCACTGCACCAATCAGCCAGTGTCTGAGGATAAATGCAGCAGATGGCCTAGGCAGCTCCTCCTCCCCGAATTAATTTAGTCACATGGTTACTGCCTGGGCAAGTTCTTAGAAAAGCCAGGTGGTTAACTTCAGAGCCATTCACTGTGAACTCTGATAAGTTAACTCCTGCCCAAGCCTGTCTTTCAGAAGCACTCTTCTCTTGACACAGACCAG